AGCGATTACGTCGGAATATAATTTTTATGAACGAGGTGTGGCTGTATTGGCTTCATTACTTGAATAAATGACTAAAAAAATTATATACGTATTTTATGGTATGGGGCTATTGAATATTATTCTAATAAAAGTCTTCTCTTCGGTTGTTATTCTACATAATTCAAAACATTATACTGTTGGGTGATTCTTTTTAGCACTATGAAAGCCTAAACTTTGTCCTTTATGTAACCAACAAGAATATTAATGATTTTTGGTAGTATTTTTTTCGCAGGTATAATAGTCTCCAAAAAAAAAAAAAAAAGAACGGGGTGGTTTTGTAGGTATTCTTTTTCTTAAAAAAACAGGAATGAACGTACTCGTCGAATACGTCATAATCGTTTTACAATACTATGTGTTGATCTATTTGGTGATTCATTAAAGTTAAAAATCCTATTAGCTGAACATTTTTCATGAGCATTGTCACATTGACAATTTTGTTCAGACTGATATAATTGACTGTATTCAGATGTAAATGTTGACATTGGTGATATATCGCAATCATCAGCTAGAATATATTAACTATATTGATTTATTAGGTTTTTTGTTGTAATCATACCTTCAAAACCTAATGGACAAGGATTAGGTGGATTACAATAAGATGATAATTCTTCATATGTTATTACTTTCGGACGATTCAAAATTTCATCTTTTGGACTCAAATGATGTCGATCTCCACCTAGATAAAAAAAAATTAATTCGATAACATGCATACTATTCAAACAAGAAACATACCCGACACATATTTATCACCATTTATAAATGGACTATGTACTTCTTGTTCTCGGTCGCGTATTAATGCACTTAAATATTCGCCAGGATCATCATCGAATGTTGTATCGATATTTGAATATGGTATATCATAATTTATCCAATATGTTCCTTGAGTATCTTTGATTATAAGCAGTGTTAATATTGCTATAAACATTGAGAAACGATACCGCATGATTAATCTTGTAATATGTGTGATGTTTTCCAAAGTGATATAACAAATAACATAGAATAAGAAGAACTGGAAAGAGAAAACTATCTTTATCTAGTCGTTTCTCTTCTACTCACTTTCGATATGAAGAAAAGGAAATGCATTATTTTCTTGTTGTCAGTACAATGTAAATAATGAGCGTACTCATGCAAGTCAGTGAACAATCAAAAAGCGGGCGAGCGACCGAGTAAACGAACGATAGAGAAATTGTAACATCAGATTAAATACACCATACTATGAAGGAGAGGAGAGTATAGAAATGAAAGAAACTGGAGACGAGTAAAAGCCAATACCATTGTGAGAAAAATATGTCATGTGAATCATTGACTTTACTCAGAAAAAATGATAAAACGTATATAATTTTTTTAGTCATTTATTCAAGTAATGAAGCCAATACAGCCACACCTCGTTCATAAAAATTATATTCCGAAGTATTCGCTTGACCAGTTTTAACATTAATGGTACAAAGTAATTCTGTTCGAAGACCATTACCATAAACTGGAAGAGTTACTTGTTGTTGATCATTCGTTTTTTGTGATGATATTTTCCATTCAATTGCCAAAAGAGGAATATCATCCATGATTGAATTTGAATAAAATAATGCATTATTACGACATAAAGCACCTTGTAATTTTAGACCTAAATTTCAAAGAAAGAAAAAAAACTTCTGTTTTTGAAATAATATGATCGTTTAAACTTGCCAGTAATAAGAAAAACATTTTCTTTATTCGAATCTACTTGTGATGGTTGATCAAGCATTTGTACATACATAACAAGTTCTTCCAATGAGACATGTAATAATTGAGCTGCACATTGACGTGTTGCTGTAAGATAAGCTTCTGGTGTAAATAATCCACCAAGCCACATTTGTACATACTAAAAAAGTTTCTTTTTTCTTATTATAAAATTAATCGAAGCATTTATTGTAGAACATACACGTAATGATTGAACACTTTCGGTTATTGTTAATGTTACTAATTTCTCGAGTTGTTTTAAACGTGCTACAAAATCTGACATCCACTGCATAGCACTAATACGTGGTGGAACACGATATTTTTTCCATGTTGATGGTGTAATACCTAAATAGATAAGTTGAAATATAATTACAAGAGCTAGGATCGCTAGGACGGAGTACGATAGCAGGGGACAGAACAGAAAAAGTTATTCTGTGTCTAGCTTTGATAACTACGTTGCCAAAAAGAAGCAATTGTTTCATACCTTTAGATAAATTATTAAGTAAATCACGTGTATCATTGGTTTGTTTTTTACTTCCATCACATACGGCTTGTATATCAGCTAGATCCTGACGTACTAAACGTAGAAGATTAGCAGCAAAATTAACTTCACGTTCAACACATCGAAATAATGGATCTTTTATATTTTCTGATGTACGTTTTATTGAAGTTAATGTCTAAGAAAAAGAAAAAAAACGTTGATGAATCATTTTCCAAACATTATTAACCTACTTTTGGTAATGATTTAAGCCAAGTATCTGTTGTATGTTGTACATGTATCATCCATGCTGGACGTCCAGTACTAGCGTCTTCTTCTTTATGTTCGCCAGCGTCAAAATCTAAAATCAATAATGTTAAATAATCTTTTCATTGTACATTTTAGTTTCTTACCAATAGCAAGTGTAGTTTCATCACTTTGATCACATTTTAAAAGATCAACTGCAAACTTGCTACCTGAGGAATAAAAAAAAACAAATACAACATATAAAGAAAATGATTTCAAAGTTTAATATTTCTCTATTACCTTGACTAATCAATAGTACTTTTTCAGCATTATCAGGCAAACCAAGCCATGTTGTTTTTTCATTCGATGGAAGTTGTTTAATCCATTCGATATATTTATTTTTAGTTGTATCTTGAGGCATTGGTATCAATAATGAAGAAACATCATCTTTAATTAATGGATATGAAGTATTTAAACTTTCTTGACAAAATAATTTCGTAACAAAAGAAGCTAAAAGACGTTGATCAAATCTATATTAAATAACAAGAATTATTTCAAATGATTGTTAAATATTCTCAACTAACCGATTATCAAGTCGTCCACCATAAATACATGAAGCAATTAAATATTGAAGAGCATCCCAAGCAATATTCTATTTAGAACAATTTGTTATTAGAAAAAAAAAAACAAATATTATCTCATTTACATCTTGTCCTTCATTACTAATCCATTGATCAATTGAATCACAAGCAAAACGAAGATCACTTTCATTAATTTCATAATATTTTGACCAACCTAATGGTGTATAACGTAAACGTTCTGTAACAAGTGCATGAAGCCATGCAAGTCGAAAATAAGCTTTTGTTCGTATATGTGGTATTCGTTCCATACGATTTTCAGAAAATTCATTTAATGTTCTCATTAAACTTGCACGAACGCCAGTTGCTGGTTCAAATACTAAACACAAACCCATACGTAATAAACTTGTTGGAAGCTAAAATAAATAATTTAGATTATAAATAAAAAATATCAATCAAGAACAAAATACTTTTGGATGAATTTCTGTTGATAAAAACAAACGAAATGATTCATGAGGTTTCAATGAATGCAATTTCTTTTCTAATTCTTTAAGCCATTGTGGGGCTAAATGAACATTTTTTAAAAGAACCCAATTGCCTTGTTTAGTAGCTGTATTAATTGCTTGTTCGGCAAGTGAAAAACCTTCAGCAGAACCTAGACAAATAACTCAATGAATTCATAGAAAAATCAAACAAAAAATATTTGTTATCATACCAATAGCAATAGCAGTTAAATTTTTATTTAGATTTATTGCTAACTCTTCAACACGATTCGATGCATCATGACCAGGTACAGAACAAAGTAGGATAGGTGTTAGACCTTGAATCTATTCAATAAATATGTATATTCAAGAGTTATATAAAGGTTATTATCAATGAAAAACAAAAAGAATGTTTCATACTTCTTCATTAATAATTTGTTCTAAATTCAAAAGTGCATCTGCTTTCTGAACAAATTCACATCCAAAAACACTATCAACAAAAGATTTTGCGGCAATTATTAAACGATCAGGTCGAACAGCACGAGTTAATAACATTCTAAACAATAATTTAAACGTTGAAATTAGTAATCAAAGAAAATTGTTTGTTCTCAAAAACTTACGAATATACAGCAGTAGCTATGGCATTCATATTATTATTACTGTTTTCCCAAACAACAGGAACTTGTGTTGTTATTTCAGTACTATTTAACCATTTATCAAATGCATCAGAATTTGATGCAATATGTCGTTCGAGATTTTTAAACGATGAAATATTTGTAGTTAAATGTGATAATGCACGTTTCTATTTGAAAATATAAATTAGAAACAAAAATTCAATATGAATATATTTATTTTACTTGTGGATCAGATAATTTATTTTGAATATGAAGCATTTCAGAATTTTCTTCTAATGCTTGAGCCATTTCAAAAAATTCATTTTCAAATGTCATATGATTACTATTAGAAAATACGAAATTAATTTTAAAATTAAATATATTAACATACCCAATAATATTTTTTAAATAAATTCTTGTTAATTGTACAGCTAATGTTATTCGATCACGATGTAACATGCCACGTGAAACACGAATAAATATTGTTTCAAATAAACTTTTTAATATAATATCTAATCGTTGTACTGGATCAGTTATAGATTCAAGACGTTTATTATGATAAAGAACATGTTCAAATATTTCCATAAAAAATCTTAAGGAATATTGATAAAGAAAATGAATCTATTGAACCAAAACAAAAAGTCATATTAAATTTATTATTGAAATTTTAAGATTTTTATCCTTGTTTTTTTTTTTCTTACCATTGACAATGATGATAATGTAAAGAAAATACTACTACATGCTTTACCCATTGGTAAATATTCTTGTGATACTTTTTCAACTTCATTTAAAATAATATCAGTTTCTTCAACTTTTTGCATTATTTCTGATGCTTCCGTTTTAATTTTTTCCAATGTTGAAATTACTCTAATAGATAAAAAAAAAAAAAAGAATTAAGGAATTGTTTGGTGTTTTGTCAATTTTAAATTGGTCAATAGATATTATTTACTTGTCATTATCAAGTATAGTTCCTTCGGATTCATTTAATACTTTAAGTAGATCATCTTCTAAATGACGTAATTTTGCTGCGAATTCTCCTTGTAATTTCATTAAATCAGATCGTTTTGAATCGATATCTGGACGTTCAGATCGTAGGATTTTATATAAACATTGAGATTGTAAACTTGATCGCGTTACTGTAAAATTAACAAATGTTACACGTGAACATATATCAGGTCCAAATTCCGCCTTTGATTATCAAAGAAAAAATAAAATAAAGATGAAAATTTATAATTTTTAATCTTACATCAGAATCACGTGTAAATAGAAACATTCGAAATGTTGGTGAAAAATCAATATCTTTATCACTAATTGTAATAAGAACACGTCCAGCTGTTCGTCGAAGATCACGATTAAGAACAGGATTAATTAATGGATCAAAATTTTCAGCATCATGTATAAATAATGTTGTACCAAAACGAAGTGCACTTTCTAATTGTTTACGAAAATTTCCATCCATAAAACTATAATAATCAAAGATGAACAAAATAATTTATAAACAAATATGGAAATTATAGTACAAAAATGTAAATAAGTATAGTTTTTCATTGGTTTAGAATATCTTTCATTGCCTCTTTTACTAATATTATAAAGATAAATGAACGGAAATAGAAAAGTGTTTTGGTAAAAAAAAAAAAAAACAAGAAAATCATCGATATCGAAATGATATGACTATACGAAACATTTATTGATTGAATACCGTATATATCTGTTGAGAATAGACAAAAATAGAGAAATAATTCTAGTTTTTACGTAAGAATATTTTGAATGAATTAGTTAAAGAGAATCTATTCAGGTTCTACTAGATTAAGACCATATAAATATAATTCAAAGAACAAGAAGAATTAGTTCACGAGTAATGTAAGATAATAACAATCGATTTGACATTGTAAATAACATTTTATCGAAAAGAATAAATGGAAAATGGTCAATTTATTCACAGTCTACCATTAGTTCTTAGAGATGTGTATCGCGCCAAAAACCGAGGCGGAGTGAACACTGCCTAAAGTCTTTCCGACTGGCAATACTGCCACTCTGCACTTGTTAAGTAAGAAGGACGTGAAACGGCCGCACCTAACAATGACTGAAAACATTTTTCCCACCAATTTGTTACTCATATTTCTTGCTCAGCAATACTTCTTAAGAAAAGTGCTTCACTTTTGAACAGTTACCTAAAAACAACAACATAAAGTTGAAAATATCGCAAAAGAATATAGAATCAGACAAAATGTAACCGGACATTTATATACTTATAGGATTTCTGTTTCTGTCTTAACTTATTTTGTAGTTAAATTTGCGCAAGTTTAAATATCAGGCTCATTACCATGAAATTCATCAAGTTTTTAATTCTGTTGGTGTTGTTATCAGGATAATTTTTAATCAATATCGATTTTAAATGGTCTCTCTGGTTTGTGAGAGACTTGGGAATCAGATACTGTACCTTTTCGAGATAGGCAAACTCAATAACCTGTTTCAATTTTTGCTATAGTAGTTTATATGACTCACGAGAGAAGTACTCATTTTCATCATAGCTTCACTTCATTACTTTATAGTTATTATTTTTCTGTTCAAAATAAATTACCTTGTTTGAAGAATATTTTTTTCTTGATATTCTCGATGAAGAAATTCCAAAGCTTGACCACTCGGGTCAATAATCAATGGATAACGAGTAAAACGTTTCAGCATAACAGCATTTTCTCGACATAAATCATCACTTGGTAACATATTCACTTCCCATCGAAGTCTTTCATCAGCACTTGATACATACTAAACATACATAAATAACGTTCTATGTTATTCCAAAGCAGACAAAAAATCGCCGATTAACTATACAAGATAAAGTATCTTTAAAATAAAATAAATCTTACTTCAACACGAGCTAAATCATGTTTATATGGTATTTTAGCTTGATTGAAATAATTTTGCCATTGTTGAAAAAGTATTTGTCTTGTCATTTGATCAAAATAACCGGTATAAGCTAAAAATGTTGAAATTAAAAATCCATCACCAATCAATGTTGCTAATTGTGTTTGATAATTTTCACTTGTTGTTTCCCAACGCATTTTTTCTAAACTTAAATTTTTAATTAATGCAATTGATCGTTCAACTTTAGATTCAACATGTGATAAATCGATTTTAATTGCTTGTGCAGCTGATATTAAATCGGCATATTCTGTTTTATATCGTAAAATACTTGTTTCAAGTGTTGCTATTAAATCATTTGTTTGTTGCATTTCATTAACTTTTTTTTCAGCTTCTTTTTCTAAACTTTTTAATTCATTTCTTAATGGTTCAACTTTACTTAACATATCAGCATATGTTAATTGGGCTGTTGCCCATTTAACTAATGGACCACATGCAACTGATGCACGATTTACTTTATCATACGAATAATCAGGATTACTAAGATATTTTGTTTTCATTTTATTTGCAATAGCTGGTCTAGATTAAAGAATTTTTTTTTCATCAAACTAACTGATGTAATAAAATAAATCTTACGTAATATCATCAGTATTAAAATTAACAATAGTTGAAATGAAATTTTCACGCATGATTATACTACGAATAGATTTCCAATCATTTGTTTCTTCGCCAAGTAATAAACATATGGATTCAAGTGTTAATTTAACACCTTGTGGTGGATTATTTAAATTTTTTATTTCAACTAAATTTTGTTTTTTAATCGATTTGACAGCTAAAAAGTATATGCAAGATATATATATATATATAATAGCGTTCAATTTTAGACTCGACAGGGCTAATCTTGGATCCAAAATTGGACGAATATCAATTCAGATCATTCTCGGATTGATCAGTTACAATATGTCCAATCTAAGAATCGTCTGAAAATTTTAAATGAATCTCAGATTGGCTTAGGCTAATCTTGAATCAACTAACACATGACATGAAGGCAAAAGTTAACCATGGCACATGAAATTTTGTTCCCAACAAAATACAATATCTAATCAAAAGCAAGTAACACTAAAGCAATTAACGAAAGATGTGAGTGTGAGTGTGAGTGTACTTGTTCTTTTTTGTTCCACACCCACAGCCGAGATGTAAAATAACTTTTTTTAAAACGTTTTCGAAGTTTGTTAGTGTATAAATGGCAATTCAATGCCATCAACATTTTTCTATTTCAATTTTTATTCGATACATTTTTTGAACTGATTCGACCCTCCGCATAGAATGCAATATACTTAGTCTCTAATTCGAGATTGGTCGTATTAATGATTCAATCCATCATTGACCTAGGTCAACCTGAGATTCGCTTAAAATTTTCAGGCGAATCTTAGATTAGACATATGGTAATTGATCAATCCGAGAATAGCTTGAATTAATTTCCATCCAATGTCGGATGTCAGATTGGACACTAATATATGTAAATTAAATAACCTTGCTGAGCATCTTGAACAGCTGGTTCAACTTTATCTAAATCTTCCATAACTGTTTTTCGTTTTTCAACTATTTGCTCTTGTTGTTGCTATTAGAAACAGAAACAAAAAAGAAAACAACAATACAGTTTGATTTATGTCTCTACGTACAGTTAAAACAATTTGTAATTCTTGTGAACTAATACGTTTCTTTTCAGCTTCTTGTTGATCATGAACCATTTGTTTTAATTTCATATTAGCTTCTTCATTTTTATCATTTAATTCTTTTCGTTTATGTGCCAATGATGTTTGTAATTGTTCAACTTGAACAACAGTTTCATGAATTTTTGCAAGACCAACCATTAAATGTTGACGAGTTTCTTCAATTTCGGTTCGTTTTTCTGCTGTAATTTTAGTCTAAATATTCACATATAATTTAAAACAAAACAAAAAACGTCTCGATAAAATATTTTTTTACAAAATGTTGAATTGCATCCAAAAAATGACTTGGAGTAATAACAATTGTCTTATTTGTTGAACCTTTTTTACGTAATGTATCATTTAATTTATGTAATGATTGATGAACAAAAACAAATGCATTATGAATTACATCACGATAAGTTGGTTCCATTGGTAAACTAGCTACCAGACGAGATAATGTTTTCGGAGCAATATACTAAAATAAATAATTATTTTTCAGAAAAATAAAACAAAATATACAATATTACATCAGCATTTTTCATATCAACTTTTTGAGTTAATTCACTAGCAACATGATAATATGCATCCAAAGACCAATCACCAAGCCAATCAAGTACACAACGATTAAATAAAGCAGGAGATGTTGATGCTCGATCACGTAAACCATTTGCACTTGGATTCATTGTAAAAACAACATGAAGATTTCTCATCACCTTTAAGTACAAATTCAAATTAAATAAATCATACAAACAAGCAATGTACTTGTAGGATGGTCAGAATTTTTGACTGAACTCAAATTTCCCTTATTAATCCTCATAAAAAGCCTTGTTTCTATGAATATTTGATAAACTCCATGTTTCTTAGTAATATGGGTTTTCATTAAAACGTAATACCCAGCAGGATGATATAGTAGTGGCCGACTCGGGTTAAGCAAGATAGCATAGTGCTTGTCAGCAGCATGCATTTAGATCAAACGACGGTTTTAGGATTTCATTCAGTAAGATGACGTAATACTAAGCAGTATGAAATGTTATAACCTTTTATATGCTTTCAGATTTTTAGAGAAGTTAATGAGAGGACTTTGAGCTGAGATCAAAAGTGCTGTATGACTTTCGACTTGGGCCGAAATTCATATAACCTTACTTGTATAGTAAACCATTTATATAATTCATCATTGGAATCTAACATAAGACCTTGTCTTTGTGCACCTTCTTTACATAAAGTTAATAATGCTGAATATTCATCACCTTCGAATAAACCAGGTACTTCGCCATTGGCTAATAAAGTATTCATTCGTTCAAGAAAACTACTATCCATTACATTTGATTCATCAAGTAGAAAAACAATTTTATCTCCTTTACAACCTGAACGACGTAATAAATGACGTAAATCGTCATCAAAATCAGCGGCAGTATATTTATTATGTACCTATATTCAAATTGAAAAATGAAATATTAGATTTTAGTTTTTTCTTATTTACTTTTAGTTGAACAAAATTAATTTGATTAAGCCATGAAACAAATCGACATAGAGTTGCTTTACCTGTACCTGATAAACCAATAAGTAATAAATGACCTTGTGGTTGTCGAAATACTCGATCAATTCTTAATACTTGATCAAGTACTTGATTAAATAATACTAATTGAATTCCTACTTCTTCTTCATAATAAGTCTTTTAAGAAAAAATTAATCATTTGAAAATAAATAAAACTTTGAAAGAAAAACATTTAATCTTACTTTCAATCGTTCTTGAATATATTGTCGTAAATCATCTTCATCAATTGATGCATAATGTCCAGCAAGCCAATCACTAAATAAAATGGGTCGTTTTAATGCAACATTCAAATTAACATTGCTAAAATGTCTAGCAGCTGTATCATCAATTGCTTTTTCTGTCCATTGACGTTCATAATCATAGATCAAACTAATAATTTCAAAAGAAGGATACATATATATAAATTTCATCGAAATTGTTATTCAAACCGATCATGAAATAAACGTAAAGCTTCATGTGCCCATAATCGAACCAATTCTTCTGCATTTAACTCTTGTACATTACGAATTGCCTCATTGATACCTCGAACCTAAAATTTTAAAAATATATTTTTCTTAATATTGAAATTTTTCTTATATATCCACCCATCGAGTCATCTCTCGTGGTGAATAAACATAATGAGGTTGTTGATCAACAGTAAATTGTTCCTAAAAATAAATAAATTAATCTCAAAACAAAAGTAATTGTATATATAAAACTAACTTGTGTCATAAGAAAGAATTCTACCATAGCATTTGTTAATGCATCACTATATGATTTAATATTATTAAATTTCTTTAACATTGCTCGATTGAATGTACCATAAATTTGTTTCAAAGATATTTCACCCGGATAATCCACATAAATTAATGGACAGTGACGTAAAAATCTTACAAACAAATAATTTTAAAACGAAACAAATTTTTAATTCAAATAGTTTACCTATGTGATAATGGTTTTCTTCCAGGATCAGTTGGTGGATTACAAGCACCAACAAATTGTATTCTTTCTAAATGTATCCATGTATGATCTGATGTACGATAAAATCCTCCATGTTCAATACATTGTCTTAAAAATGCAATAACTCTTTGTGTACCATATTTATCTTCATCAGGTAAATTAATTTCATCACAAAATACAATAATCCATTTGCCTAATTGACTTGGAGCAAGAACAACACCAGATGTTGCCGTTTTCTTATATTCACAATAATGTGCAAATGTTTTTAGAATTAATTCAGGTGTTGTAGCAGAAGAAAAGTTTAAACCAACAACTTCACACGCTGGTAATGAACGAAGTGCACTGAATAATGTCATTGTTTTACCACTAAAAATAGAAAAAATTTGTTGCAAAAAAGAAAAAATAATAAACAAATAAATTCAAGAATTTTTTTTTTCAATGATTAAATGTTAACCTTCCAGGTGGACCACAGAGAAGAAGAGGTTTATGTTCATTAAGCCATGTATAAAGAAGAGTTTCATGTCGAATCGTATCTATAGTAGGTATAACTAAATCACTTGCATCAACTTTACTTCCTTCAAGTTCAACTAATGGAACTTTTAATAGCCAAGATTCCCATTCACCTTCAGAATTAACCTTTAATTTAAGACAACAATAGCAAAAATATGTTTTTGAAAAAAATTTTAAAAATAACTGATTATTACTTCAAAATCAATTATGGGTAAACTTTTATCAGTTGGTGATGATATGTTATGATTTTTAATTGTATTCATAATAAATTCACCTAATTGTTGTCGATATTTTAATTTACCATCACCTGAAAATGACCAAATCATTGAAATAATCAATGATTTAATAAGATATTGTTCGATTTGTTTTTCGTTCAATGGTGTTGCTCGATCAACAGAAAATAATTGTCGTTTGATAATCGTACGTATAATATGATTAAGCATCGAAAAGAGTGCTTGTAAACATCGAGATGGTAAAAAATCCATAATATGTACTTGTTTTTCTTGTGCAAATTCTAATGTATCAAGAATCAATCCATTTTCTTTGTCACAATAAGGTTCTAATAAATCAGCTAAATGATTTTGTATTTCTAATATACTTGTTTTATTTTCTTCTGATGATTGCATAACATTATCTTTACTATTTGGATCATCTTGATTAATAATATCAAAAACAGATTCTTGTCGAATACGATTTAAATAATATTGAAGTAACATAGCTGATGTAACTGTTTGTTGGTTAAACCAAACCATGCCTGTACGAGAAACTGTTGCTAATGTTGCATGACGTAAATCTTGAACTTCAAACATCTAAAAATAAGAATAAAATTATGAAAAGAAAATTTAATCAATCAAATTAAATATTTACCACTCGAACATTGGCTGGTAAAGCAAGACGTTCACCATTGGGTAGTGTTAATAATTTATTATCATCAAGAACTGAATTTAAATTTTCAACCCATTCAGGATCAACGTCACCATCAAATATAATCCATTGACGTTTAGATAATTCACCGCGTACATTATCAATTATTTTACGTAAAATATGTGTAAATAATCCATCTGTCCATTCTCCTATTTATTTATAAAAACAAAAACAAAAAAATCTTTAATCTTTTTTTAAAAATAAACTTTTACGTGTATTTTGATCCATATATCCATAAAGATCATCTTTCGATATTGCTTTTGGGTCAATAATATGTGCTTGACCATCAGAATTTTCAATTCGATTTAATGCAGTTAATAAAACACGCCATGCCATTGTTTTTCCTATATAAATCATCTCTCATCTTCTAGATATTACATTTAGCTTGATAAATTACGTTCAAAGAAAAAAAAAAAAAACTTTTCAGTATAATTCTTCAAGAATTAAAATGCGAAATATGATGTAGTTGCGCTTGCTAATCACAAGGAGATTGTTTTATTCTAGAAACTTAATAACGAAGTAGTTGATATATTAGAACAAGACGTTATTGATATGCGATCTGTGACTTTTTCCACGTTACGACTTAAATATGAATAACTGTTGGAGGAATTTGATTGCTTCAAAATTGAAATTAGATTATCTTTTAAACTACTTTGAACTTTACGTTGTTATATTGTAGTCCTGTATTTTGTACTGATTCTTAATCAATCAACACGACAAATATGGCAGTGATCTGTTTATCCATTCGATTTCTCTTAACCGTTTTATAGTGTCATAGTAATCATAATAGATTCTTAGTTACAATAGAACTTTCTATTATAGTGCAATGATAGGAAAGATCTGTTAAATGAATAGCATACCACAACTAGTTGGTCCAACAAGCATTAAACCATGATTAAGATTTGTTATTTGATATAATTGTAAAACTTTTTCAATCCATAATTGATCACAAACAAGATACATTTGTTTCGCAGCATTTTCAATTTCTTCTCTAAGACGAGTCATTGATGGTCGATTATATGTTGCATTTGGAAAAACATCATTTAATAAACTATTTAATAGAACTAAATCATCAGCAACAAGACGTGGAACAAAACTATCCATAATAGCTTGTATAACAATCTACACAAAAAATACGAATCATAATTTTCTTTTGTATAATCATGATATTTACTTCTTGTTCATCATCATTTTGAATATCATTTTTAATTCTTTCACGTTTTATATTACCAGCCATAACAAGAACACTTTTAAGTGAACGTAAACCAAAATCATAATGAGATTGATTAGATAATTGTTCACTTAATAATGTAAATAAAGGAACAATTTTTTTCGATAAAATTTCTGCTTGACGAAAACCTTGAGAATAAAGCATTACTTGTGCAATAAGAACTTTATCAGGTACAGTCATAGCTAAACTACGAAAGAGCATTTTAAGATTATCTGGTAAATTTGAACGACCAGCATAACCAGGATTCATCGTAATAAATATTGCCATATTTGAATTAACTGTAATACTTTTACCAACAAGTTCTATTTTTAATGTATCTAAAGATTTGTCCAACGAAGGAGAGAAAAAAAAAAAACTTTTAATTTTATTTAAAAATAAAAATAAAGTAACTTTTACTTTTATTTGACATTGATTGTTGTCGAAGTGCTTCTTGAATTGTTTGAATTTGTTGTGATACAGCTGATAACATACGTTCTTCTAAACGATTAAATTCATCAAAACATCCCCATGCACCAACTTGACATAAACCAACAAATATACGACCCATTGCTTGAAAATCAAATGCTTCATCACAATTAAATACAAGTACAAATCGACCAAGAGCATTTCCAAGTGCTTTAACTGATTCTGTTTTTCCCGTTCCTATTAGAAAACATAATGATTAAAAAATGTACTTCGACGTTTCTTTCTTGTTTCCCACATACCAGCAGGTCCAAATGGTGAACCACCAAATTTGGCATGTAAAGCTTGTGTCATTGTTAAGAAACATCGATCAGTTAATGGTGTTTGAACAAGACGATCTTGTAAACCTATTTTAATAAAATAATTTCAGTTTTATTATTTAGAATAGTTAGTTTTTTTTATTTTTAACCAAGATATTCAAATCCATAATGAAATTCTGCATTAGCCATTCGAATTTTAAGTTGTTCAAGAACGTTTTGATTTTTTGGTTCAAAATATAAACGCATTTGAGCAAGCCATTCAAAATTAGTTGCCGAATCGACTTTTTTATCAATTAGTGCTCGAGTTACATCACGTTTATGAACATGTTCAATGATCTATTTGTTTTGTTTTTTTTTAGGGGCAAAGAAAAATATATTTGAGAAAGCAATTCTGATTCTACATACCAAATGTTCAAGTTTTCGTCGTCTTACAGTAGGTTGATCAGCAAGAACTAAATCAGCTAATATACCAAGTGTAGATTCAATTTGTTGAAGTGCTGATTGTAAATCAATTTTTATCTTATCACTAAGTAAACGTTCAATATTTTCTGACCATGATACTTGAAATGCAAGTACAACTAATTGAGCCTAATCGAAAGAAAAAAAAAAGTTAATGGTATATAAAAATAATTTAGAATATTCTACAATACTAAAAGTTATGTGAAATGGATGTAGAAATAAAATTTAAACAAATCAGTTAATCAGAACAGAAGAATAAACATAAGATTGAATATTCTCAAATACTGTTATACAGGGTGTCTCAGAAATAATACCCCGATAAGAAATTTAAATATCCCCACCAGATATCGACCAAACGATCTGAAATTTTTACCAGTGATAGAGGCATATTCAAAGTTTATATCTATAAAGACATGCCTAGAGAAACCATTTGTTAAGTATCACTATTAACCACAACACAAAAATTTCACTTGTTCACAGATAGAAAAAGAAATATGCAAAGTATCGCAAAAGTCACTTTGCCGAACAAAAAAATTGAATATCTCCATTACGGCTGGAGCAAACCAGATTGTTTTTTTTATCAATGATAGAGCAAGGGGGAAAAAGCGCGACTCCATGTACTGCAAAAAAAAGTTGGAGTACAATTGGAGTACCATTGGAGTACAATTGGAGTATCATTGGAGTACCAGTGTCAGGTACTCCAATGGTACTCCAATGGTACTTCAATGGTACTCCACATACTGGAGTCGCGCTTTTTCCCCCTTGTGATAGAGGCATGTTCAAGCTTTATAATCATAAAGACTTGCCTAGAAAACGCCTTTGCCAAGTGTATTGTTTTTGTCCTATCTGTGAAAAAGTAAATTTTTTGTGTTTTGGTCAATAGTGATACTTAACAAATGGTTTCTCTAGGCATGTCTTTATAGATATAAATTTTGAATATGCCTCTATCACTGGCAAAAATTTCATATCGTTTGGTCGACATCTGGTGGAGATATTTAAATTTCTTATCGAAGTATTATTTATGGGACACCCTGTATTTTCCCCACAGTTTATAAACATCACTAACAATCATTTATCTTCATGTCTCGATTAGTTAATGCATGTCACAATGTAATTAATTTCCTATCAAATTACAGAATATATAGGATTCTCTATAAGAAAATAATCGTTTCTATTTTCTAAAAGCGAGTTTTAAGTAAAATAATATCAACTTGAAGATTTTTATATTTAAAACTTGATGCGTATATGTTTATCTCCTAGATAATGCGTCATCTTCTATAGTCTTGACAGAATAAAAGCAATTTTGAGTGAAATGTTTATTCTTCTGAAAAACTGGTTTTCTAGATAACCTAGCATTGTTTTTATACAGAGGAGTAATCTTTAATCGAATAGAAAATTGTTTTCGAATGATATTTAAAAATAATCTCTAAAAAAATTATTTCTTCAACTTAGTTATCGATCATACTTGATATTGATCAAGCCAATCAATAAATGCTTGTTTATCAGTTAAATTTCGTTGAATAGTAAGTAATTGTGGAATAGATTGTGCAAGTAATTTTGCTAAAGTTAAACTAATTTCTTTTTCAACTCTAGTTAACCAATCATTAATATTCGGATATTGTTTAATAGATATTGGATTAAAAAATTTCACTTCTTCACCTTCTTTTGATTGAATACCATCTATTAATGTTTGATCATTTTCATTTATAATCAATGCATGAACACCAGCAAACATCTTTTTAAAATGTTTTTGTAAACGTAATAAATTATTTGAATTACCAATCATTTCTAATAAATCTTCATCACCAATAAAATAAAATCTAAACAATAAATGATTATGTGGAACATAATTTAAATAGAGTATTAAAGTATAGGCGTAAAAATTCTAACTCCCGTAGTCCCCAACAGACGCTAGTCAGAGACCATCAAAGACCGTGACAAATGCTGACGTAAGATTACATAATGTATGTCAATAAAATCTCGTTATAATATATGAACTGCTTTCTTATTACATTGTTGAAGGATTAAGATAGTCTTTCACATTTTGATTCAGTAGAGATTGCTCTAGTAGCTATTTTGTTTTTCTAGAATTATAATAGAATGTGTTACCGTGGAAAGGCTGCACGTTGTCGTTCAAGATATTCTCCAAGTGCTTTTTGTATTTTTGTTAATGATTCAGCTAAACGTTCAAGTAATTTTTGTACATTTGGTATAGCAATAACATCAATAACTAATGGAGATTTTTCAACTTTTTTTAATAGACCAACAAATTCATTTGCTACACTTTGAAATTTTTGTGATTCATTTGGTAATAATTGTGCTATATCAGTTGATGAAGTAAATATTCCTTCGAGATATACCCAACGTCTTTGAACATCAATCCAAATATCAAATATATTTATAATACGATTAAGTTTGTCATCCCAAGAAAGTGTTTCTGCTTCAAATGACTTTTGTTTAAAAAAAACAAGAAAAAAGAAAGATTTTCATTTAAAATTCATTAAAACAAATTTTATTCTTACTTTAAAATATGGAGATAATTTCATACTTAATATATTACTTAAATTTTCTTTTGCTTTAGTAAATAAATCATCCCAACTTTTAATAACTTTACATTTTTTTTGATAATCAATTAATTCTAATTGATAAACTTTCCATTGTTCACTTATTTGTTTTAAAAATTCTTCTAATGCTTTTTCACCTTGAGCATTAACCATAATATCACGTAATAAATTTTCATTTTTCTTTAAATTATCTGCTTGATCCCAAATATCTCGTAATGTTAAATCAGACATATTATTCCATATTGTTGTTAAATCAAGAACTTTAATCATATCTTTCCAATGACGTTCTTTTAATGCTTCAGATTTTAATTCATTAATGAAAGGTATCATCTATGATTAATTAAATCGAATGAAAAAAAAAAAAAAACATTACTTAACTTTTAAAAAGAATAAAACAACATACTTTAAGATAATTTTCAATATTACTTTTAACAGCATGATAAGAATGATAATTTTTCACTGATGGTACCATAGCTGTCATTAAGGAAAGTAGTTCTTCGATATTAGCTTTTAATTTTTTAGGTTGAACAGTTATCCATTGAATATCTCTTAATTCTTCTAATCGATTACAAACATTTTCAAGAGATTTCCAAACATTACGAATTTCATCGAGTTCAGCAAGGTCGGCACGTAGACGTTTTTCGAAATGATCTACTTGTCCTAAGAAATGAAATAAGCATTTATATACATTTCTACAAGTATTGAAGAAAGATAGAATATGTGAACATTATATTTAATGAAGAAGTATTAGGCAGTCACAGAGACGATTTCATCGAAATTCAAAATGCATCAGGGAAATTCAGTTTCATCTAGAAGTATAAAGTCAGTACATTGATCGACGGCTGAAATATTTTGATGGTTTTTTTTTAATTTCGAGAGACGCTGAAATACAAAGCAGAAAAAAAAATGACAGAGAATTTATTGATACAAGAAACTAATTAGACAGTAACATCTCAAAAATATTGATTTGAGGAGCGAGAAATTTTTAAAAATCAAATATTTATTATTGTGACGTGGTGGTGGCTCATCCCTCTAGCTACAAGAATATGTCAAATTATAAATTATAAGGTCTGCTTTGAATACTATATTGATGAGAGCTTGACCAGCTCAATTCTAGTTCTAATCTGAAGAACTATTGAAAATGTTCTCGGATATGATTTGATTTGCCTGAACAACGTTTGTTCTGTTACGGAGATGCTATTCTCTAAATAGAAAGAATTTCAGACAGTTCAGTTTTAAGGGGAGCCGGTCGATCCTCACAATCCAGAGATACTTCTCAGAGGATCATCCATATTATTGTACAAAGCTTACTGTTTTCCCATCGAATTGATTCATCCCTAAGGAGCATCTAAAAGCATTTTGAATTCAAACAATGATAGAAGGCTATGATTAAGGTCAGTATTTGTGGTAAAATAATATGACCGAATCTTATAGTACCAGATTATGTTAATCAAGAATCTATATTTGTATGATATATAATTATTTTCTCTAGGAAAGAGAGAGTCTCTTACTTTAGGATACTATGTGATTCTATCTATGAGCTATTTATCAATGTTTGCTCTTGAAGATCTTCTTATGGCGAATTTTTTTTCGGGAATTGATTTTCAGTTCATCGAAATGAGATCATAGCATGGTGAATTGTATTTTCTTCAGATCTTGCCTAATCTTATAGAAGTTTATCTATGAATAATAATGCGAAGTTCAATTTCACAATGATTTTCTTTTTCTTATTTTTTACAAATCATCTCACTTCATATATGATTTAATGAACTAACCTGGTTCTTGCATTTTAACACTTTGTTTAGCTTTATTAAGATTTGTTCGTTTTTCTAATTGTTCATTAAGTTTAGCTTCATATAAAGCTAATTGACGAATGGCATCACGAGGTTTTAAATCACCCTAATGAAAAACCGATCAGATTTATTATGTCAAATCAAATATCTGTACATACACCAATGGGTTTTTTCGTTGCCCAATCTTCAAGAATTTCTTTTGTTTTTGTATCAATTGTTTGAACTTCAACTCGAACTTTTTCTTGAATTTTATCCAACTAAAAAAAAATGATTTTCAATAGATTTCAAAGTGAATACTAAACAAAATAACTAACTTTTGTTTCAACAACTTGTTCTTTTCTTTTAAGAATATCATTCATTGATGTCCAAGAATTTTGAATTGTATCCATTGATGTCCAATTATCTGGAAATGAATAACGTTGTCGTTCAAGTAAACGTTGTGCTTCTAATAATTGTTTCATTTTAATTTCATCTTCAATTTGTGTTTGTCGAACTGTGTCAATTGTATCAATTAATTGTACACTATCATCAAGATTACCAGAATCAATTGATTTTGTTTCAAGATTAGTTCGATACTAAGATATTAAAGAAAAGAAAGTAACAAGAGATTTTACATACGGGAGAACTACTCGAATCGAAATCTGTCGTTTGAGCTCATATTAGATTTATAAGAGGGTCTCGATAAGACTAGAAAAACCCTAAAAGGATTCGTTTCCATAAGTCTTTAGAGATGAGTTATAACCGTTTTGTTGAATTTTCGATCCAGCTTTCGTCACAGTTCGACTCCAGAGGCCCATAGACAAGAATCCTTTTAGGGTTTTTCTCGTCTTACCAAGACCTTCCTATGAACCTTATATGAGCTCAAATGGTGAGTATCAGTTCGAGTAGTTCTCTCGTAAGAATGACAGTTTTAATACCTCCGAAATATTTGTATAAAAATCATTAGCAACTGTTTGTATAATTTGACCAAATTTTCGAAGTAAATCTTGGTGCCAATTATCATATTTAACACCGATTTTAGATTGAATTTTAGAAAAATCAATAACTAATGGACCAAATGATTTATAAGTTTCTTGTGTATCAAGTGTTTTACGTGATTCTCTATATTAAGTTATTAAAAATAAAAAATAAAAAACAATAAATCAGTCAGTACAAAGACATTTCTCATTGGAAGACTCCTATTTAATTAAAATTAATTTTTCAACAATTCAGGATGATAACGAAGTTAACGAGGATAAAAAAGAATCAGATTGTTCTATTGGATTTATTAAGCAGAATATCGCTTAATTCAATATTTGACTACAGATAGATGATCACGAGTATAGCTGTAATTGGTAAATGTTATCAATTAGTTTGGAGCTCTTTGACTTTTTTCTCAAAAAGTTGATTATTGAGGCTCGGTTTTTGTCGCAAATCAAATAATTTTTTCTGATGCTGAAAACTATTTCTGTGAGAAGACATAAATCAGACTTGGTATTGAGTTAAGAGTCATCATTGTATACGCAGCATGTTTTATCAATTTATTTTAATAAAAAGTAATATTTTAAAAAAAATCAAATTCTTATTTAGTACTGTATTTATCCTAGATTGATTTATATCTCCTTTTATTTATAGTATAGATTTTGTATAAATATAATTCATATAATGCTCATATTGAATGAGCATAAGTCAGTATACGAAAATAATATCGAATTTTTTTTGTTCGACGAAGTTTTCTGCTCATTGATAGATATCAAATAAGAAAAAAAATCTTATGAAAAGAAGCCAATTTTTGTCTCAAAAATAGAAATTAAAATAAATGTAGAGGAGTATAGTCTAAGATCTGATCTTTCATAAACGACAAGACTTTTCTTTCTATTTTCGAACCATTTTTCAGGGATGGGCCTTGAGTGGCGGATATAGCAATCATATAGGGTCAGAAAAATGAAGAATGACTTATACCAGTCTGATTTAGTCGGACCGTTTTGACCAATACCGATTTCAACCCTAATGACGATAGGAACGGAGCCACAAGACTTCAGTAGGGTCAAGCATCCCCTAGATACACATTTTGTAGTTTAGAGTAGGTTCAAATACTTGTTTTCTCCATCCATGGTATTGATAGATTTGAGTAGATCACCACAATTCTCATAGAAATATCAAGACTTTTCAGTTTTCGGCGGCTAATAATAACATTTTCTCAGTCAAACACACTCTGGGAATGCTTTTTAAGAAAAAAAAAACATTGCATTTTGTATCAATAAGTATTGGATCATATATTGACAATGACTTAAAGTGAGAGGATTCTTCACTACCAGTGAAGAAGAATTGTACGAGAATTCCGAGTCAGACTAACTAGAATACTTCGCCTTCGGTAACTAACGTTACATGCCTACTCCACATGTGCAATCGTATTTAGAATTTTCTTTTTCAGCAAAGCAGATCAAAGACTTTCTTCTACAAGTTGCGAATTTTTTTCTGATCTTCATCATTGTTATATACTGCAAAATGTGAGTACGAAAGAAGAAATACTAAAACTCTTCCGCACTCATTTTTAACTTGTAGATTTGAATCTTATATAAAAATGTCAAGCATACATTAAAACGAATTATTTGTCTTCGTTACTAATTTATATTGCGAATTGGCATATGACAGAGTAAAAAAATATTCTGTAGTCAAACACTTATATCAAATACATACTTAATATCTTTTAAACATTCAAACCATGATTGAATATTAGTACCTAACCGTTGAAATACATCATTTGGTTCTAAATCCCATAGAACTTGATATTTAAGCCAGCCCTATTTAAAGAAAAACGTCTATCTATTAATATGCATATGATAAAGAATGATTTACTTGAAAATAAGTTTCTGCTTCAATAAGCAATTGTTCAATAGCATGATAAGCTTCACTAATTGATATACTACTTTGTTCAGGAAATTTTATAAATAGATCATTATATGTTAGATCTTCTTCTTGTGTATCCATTTCAGCATTAACCTAAATTAAAATATTTTTTTCATTCATTTAGATAATATATGAAATAAATAAATGTACTTGATAACGACTATTTTTAATTCGTTTTTGTGATGTTATAACTAAAACAAATATGAGTAGCTCATTTAAAGATTACTTATCAAAATAAAAATTCATACTTGATTGACAATCAAAAAATGAATTAAAAAGTTGTTCACGAGCTGATTCAAATGGTGGAACTAAGACCAACATTTGATTGACAATTCGAATTTCAAGAACAATTTTCTATTAAATAAAAATAATAAATATTATATTTTATTAATTAATTTTTATTTATTACTTTTAATCGCATTCGTTTTTTGCTTTTTAATTTTCCTTTTTCTAGTTTAATTAATGCCTGTTTCCATAATGAAATAGCTGTTTGTAAACGATCAAATAATTTTGTTTCAATTTTTTCATCAATAATTCGAATCCATTTTGGAAAATTTGAATAATCATGTAAACAAAATTCATCAACTATTTTTTGTGTTTGTTCTAATAATTCAGCAAATACATCAACTTGATATTCACATTCATCTAATTCATTAATATACGTAAACATCAAATTATCTAATCGAAGAATTTCTTCAACCTATTAAACAAAAACACAAAATTTAATCCTAAATAAAAACAAAATACACTTTTCTTTTAAATACATTTTCATTATAACTTGTAAATGCTTCAATACATCGTTGAACGTATGGTTCTAATTTATATGATTCCCAAGCTAATTTAGTTCCTTCGACAATTAAATTTTGAATATCTTTTTTCATACTGCCAACTAAATAATCTTGACCATGATCAGCATTAATCTTAAAGCGAACAAAAAAAAAATGAACAAATTTAAGAAAACAAATAAATAAATATATTTCTTTATACTTTTGTACTTGATAACTCATAAGCTCGAACACTTTCAAGTAGACCAATAGCATATGGATAAATTTGATTAGCTTGATGAGCTTTATTAACAAGTGGCAATGGTACTCGAAAACCAAGCCATTTTAAATTTCGTACCTAAAAGAAACAAATGTTATTCTGATGAAAACAAGAAGCTATTGACACAATCCCTGTGGGATATAAAATGTGAAACATGATGTAGCTTCTACTGCTAATTACAAGCACAGTGCTTTATTCTATCTATTTTCGGACACATTTCTTGACCATCCTTTTATTTGCAAGCCGATCGACTGACAAGGGAATCTCGTCAAATATCTCCTCCCAATTTGAATGATTTTTTTTCCTGAATCTCGTATTTTCCAATTTTAGCCTAAAACACTGCGCATATAAAGAACTCAACTAGACTAGTTTCCAAAAAGAAAATCAGAAGCTTCAAATAAAGTCTCTTCTAGATATACAACTTTCAAAAAAAAATGCATGTTGTATACACTATCCATCGATACGGATATATCTTGAAGAGGTTTTGTTCAAAACTTCTAAATCTTTTTTACGAAAGCTAGCCTAGTTTAGTTTTCTATATCCAAAAAGATTCAAACCAAACTTCGAAAATACGAGATTTAGGCAAAAAAAAACCATTGAAATCATATGGAGATTTCCTTGGGAACCGTCGTTCGTTAATCAATGCGTCGGTTTACACGTTTATCTGTAATCCTGTATCAAGAATCTCCGTCATGTCTGTCGAGATATCTGAATTACTACTTCTATACTTCAACACTTCTTTTATGTCGTGTTTCGCAAAAGATAAATGAAAAAAAAAAACAAATACCTCTTTTGTTAACATAATGATTTCTGGTGTAAAATTAACTTTTAATCGAAGTATTGTTACTTTTGATATTCGTACTGTTTCAATACTAAAAATAAAACCAGTAACACTCATACTTTTTCTTGAAACCTATGTAAAAAGAAAAAGAATTATATTGATAATAAAATGGACGTTGAATTTTTTAACCTTCTCAAGCCAATCTTCAAAGATAGGTGCTGTATTAAGACGTTGTTTAAAACTATCTCCTTCGAATTTTAAACGTTGTCCATCAACATGTTTTTCCCAACCTGTTCCAAGAACATCTTCAACACGTTTTAAATATCTTACAAGTTGTTTTTCAATTTGTTTAGCCCAAATAATCGAACCAGTTGCAACTGGTATATCAACAGTAATTCGACTCATTTTCATAGCTTTACTAGCTGAATATTTAGCTTTAAATTTTTCATGTAATTGATCAATATCTATTTTAACACGTTGAATTAATTGTGTTTGATATTCACGTATAGCATTTCTTATATGTTGTCGTATAAGTAAATCATGAAAACGTGCAAATATCTGAAACATTTCACTAGCATTACGAGCTTTGGCTAATTGTTCCCGCAGACGTGTTGTTATACGTCGTTCCACTTTTTCAATACGTTCTTCATAAATTTTTATTGTATCATTCCAAATTTGTGTACCTTCGGGAGAACATTCGAGAATATCAATATGTTTTAAACTTTCAAAAGCTTCATGAATTTCTTCAACAGCATTCGAATCACTTTGATCAACTATTTTAATGATTGATATTGATGAATCAACGATTTGTTGTTGCTTTTGTTGTTTAGATAAAAGACGTTCAATGACTGATCGAAATTGTTCATGTTGACGACGAAATTGTCTCAAATGTTCTAAGCGTCCTTGTAATTTCTTATGTTCAGGTGTTATTTTCCAAGCTTGTTTAAGTTGTTGTGCGCTAACAACATTCTTCTTTGTCATATCTCGAAGTAAAGCTTGACATTTTTCATATTCTTCATCCTAAATCAATTAAGTTTTTTTTTTTACATTGTCAACAACAACAAATTAAGTATCGCATACCCAGAGTGAAAAAATGTCCATACATTCATTTAAAATTTGATCGAATTTTGCAAATGGAATTTCAATTAAGTGTGTTGCTGAAAGAATCTAAGAAGACAAAAACAAATGTTGTTTTTTTGCCTTATTCAATAAAATTTTACTTTAATCATTTGTGTATTAAGATCACGTGAAATAGCTTCAATAAAACGTAAAATTCTATTAATTGGATAACGTGTATTTCTAACACGTTTAAGATGATTGAAAATAATTGTTATTGAATTTTTTAATTTTGATAAATCATTTGCAGATAAAAGATCATGCATGGGAAAATCTTTCATTAATAAATTATAATTTTTTACTTTATCCAAAGCTTCTTTTAAACCAGTATCCGAATCAAAACTAATCGTTGCATGAAAACGTTTACCAAGTTTCAATGCATCTAATGTTAATAAAACTTCTGGACTACTCATTTGTTCTTGAATTTTATATAATGCACGTTCAATATTTAACCAAAATGTTGTTTCTTGCATAGCTGAACCTGTTGATGGATCACGTTCAAGTTTTGTTACCTAACAAAAAGAAAAAGATTATAATTTGATAACAGAAAAACAAAATCTTTTATACTTTTTGAATTTCTCTTATCCATCGATTAACAGTTGCTTGTAATTGATTAAGAAAATTTGAATCTTCAACTTTTTCACGAAAAAAATCAACATTTGGTCGTTGATTTTTTTCTTGACATTGTCGAAGTACTTGAGTTATACATGCATGTGGAATAAGATTAATATCTGGAATATTAACTGTTTGATTCATTTGTAATAAATTTGCTTCTAATTCATTTAATTTTTCTTCAAGAACAACAATTGTTTTTTCACGATCTCTACAAAATACAAAATAATTCATTCAAGAAAATAAATATTTAATTTTAAATAAAAGACCTTTCTTTTTGTTGGCGAAGAAAACTTTTTAAATAAGGTGTCATTGCTTGTGAAAGAAATGTTCGAAATATTTCTGCTGGTGCTCGATTTGTAAATGTTGTAAAATGAATTTGTTGAGATATTTTTTTCTCCATGTCAATTGTTGGTGTCACTTTAATTAATGCCACACTTGAATATAAATAAATAAATAAATAAATAATCGTTTTCTTTTTATATGTATAAGACAGTACAAACGTTTTTTTTTCGTTCGACTCTCCTAAAAGCTATATACTGAGATTAAGTTTTACAATGTAATGCATAGACATATTTAATATTTGTTTTAAATCAGTCCTACGTTCTTATTTAAATGGCTTACTAGAACAAGTTCGAAAACTGATTTTAAATGAACAGAAAATCAATTCAACGTACAAACGACAAACATGTTCTTTTAAGTATGGATTGGATAGTTCACAATAAGCTTCATTAATTTCAACCGAGGAAATTCATGTTCTTTGTTCAGATTGTCCTTCAGCTAATGTTTACGCAGATATCAGTAATGCTATTCAAGTAATAATTGATGATGGTTCTCACTGGGAATACGAATTAGTAGAAAGATACTCAAAACATAATTCCGACAGCAATTATTTCCATATGTCGAAAGTTCTATGAGGTTATACGTTCAATAAGTGCATTATTTACTCATCAATAATGATAACTTGTTACATGTTCAATTGCCTAATTAACGACAGCTTACGTGTCTGGTGATATTATGTAAATTAAAGTTATGTAAAGATGATGAAAGTAAAGATATGGAACGGTGCTGATTTTTTTTTCACAATACTCATTTGTAAAATTTAATTCAGTGTAGATGTTTTCTTTTATTTTGGAATAACAATTTTCGTTTATTGGATATTACACAATAACTGAAAAAACTTTTGTAGTGCCCCTTGTAACTGTATTAATTACCTAATCCCTTTTTGTGCAGCATATGTTGTTTCTGTTGAAAATTCAACTTGAATTGAATTTGTCCCATTTGTTTCAGTATTGTCAACAGCATCTTGTTCTTCATCTAGAACTTATTAGATAATTAAAGTCTATTTATTCTTATATTGTACCTTTTCCTTGTTGAGTAATACGAATAAAAAATACGACACATTGTGGATCACTTAAAAACCGTCGTATTCCATCAATAGCTGTAGTTTTTTCTTGCAAAGCTCGTTTGAATATATCTATTTCACTTGTCGAATTTAAATCAGTAGCTATTGGAACTACACGAAGTAAATAAGAAGTAAATTGTTGAATTTCAGCCGGTGTTGCTACTGTTGGCTGAACTTTAACAGCCGAATTTTGGCTATTGCTGTTTGTATTGCTCTCTTCGGTTATCATCACTTTAGAAAAAAAAAAGCTCGTTACTGTGCAAAATTTGCAATAGAAACGATTATAGTTGACAGAACGTTTTTGTTCTTTTATAGTGAAATAATAAAAAAAGAAATTCGCACAGCTGTAACCAACATTGAAGCGTTGACGATTCGAATAAAATGGCAACAGCAGGCTTGTTTTAACGAGTAAACACGATATATATGAATGGAAAAGATAGAATATGACATTGTGTGAAACATGTTTTGATGTCATAAAGAATTCGAGGCCATTCAAATTGAGGGTTACCATCATTGATAATTCACAAAACGTTTGATACCTCGATTTAAAGAACTTTTTATTAAAGATTTTACATGTGCTTATTTCAATTGCATTCTTCATTAATAAGAATAAAACAATGATCCATAATCCACTTCATTTTTTCCGCGCTCTTTTACCGTCCGAGAAAGAGAAGAACACTGATAGTTTGAAAACGATGATCAACACATAATGTTTACGAAATAAGTTTTATCACAGAATATAATTGATGGCGAAAATTAAATGGAACTTCATAATTTTTCTTTGTTACCATATCGAGATACACTTTCATAAATTTGCTGTTTGCCCATTCGATAGCGAACTTCATGCTCTACAAAACTGCTGTATTTATTTTTAAAATAATTTTTTCTTATCGTAGCAGAATTCTATAGATGAGATGTGGGTGTGCAAGGAGAGAAAAATCAGACTCACACTCACAGGCATCTTTTTTTCCTGTTCTACAATCAGGAAGTATAGAAGAAAGGAAATAAATTCATTTTCGTTGGAATTCGTTCACATGCAGTGGGAAAAGAATTAATCAAATATTTTAAGATTAAACAAATTTTTCTTTGCTAGTTTTTTTTTAAGGAAGGACCTTGTTGAATAAGGTGACCTATTCGTTGCCAGAAATTTTTGTCAACCCTAAGTAATAATGATATTAGATACATTTTTAATAATGAAACAAAAAAGAAAGATTATAAAAAAATCGTATGTAAAGGATTAGGATTTAAATCTTTTTTTGGAAAATCAGATTGTGTTATTATTTATTTAAACAGCCAACATTTTCGATTTGATTCTTCTTATTCTATTCAATGGAATTCAGAATGGAGAACTATCGATTAACAAACATGAGAAGAAGATAATGACCGTCAGCTTATTTATCCATGACAAATTAATTCAATATGAACTAGAGAAGATAAAATTCCAAAATTTATAAAAGATTTTCTTGATTCAAGACAAAATTCAATTCATGTTGCTAATATTATTTTATTAAATGATGTCGAAGAAATTCATTTGGTGATTTATCAACTAAAACGACAAACATCTATTTTTCTTTTTTACGAAGCATTTCTCAAATGGCATTTTTAACTGAAACAGAATATGTTGTATCTATGGATCGAGATACCAATTATGGTCTAAAGAAGATAATTATTAATAAAAAAAAAAACTATTTCACAATGGATCATCAGATGTGCTGAATTAAATGTTCCGAATGACGTACGGAGAAAAATTTACAGCAGATAAAAATGTTCCAGACAAATTACATGTGATAAAAAAGACAGAAATATTTTTTGCTGCTAAATATCGAAGAATATTTTTTGTTCAACGTTTGTCTGTACATAATTATTCTTATTTGTGCTTAGACTTTGCTTGGAATCAATGGTTATTCGATAAAATAGAAATTGAAATCTTTCAATGGATAAAAGAATCAAATAATATTTTAACAAAACAGTTTGATGAATCTTTGAAAGTGGCCGTTAAAAATTGTAATTTCATTTTTAATAGACTCAATCAATTATTACGAGTAAGTTGAAAGAAAGCCTACCAGTACATTTCCATTCAGGACTAAAACATGAAAATCACAAAATCTGAATATATAAAAATTAATCATCGAATACCAAGAGATACAAATAGTATATGGACTTAGTGTTTATAAACTGCGAAGAAAGTGCATGAGTGTAATTGATTCTAAGTAATACGGTAAGAATGTCTTCTATCTTAAGCAGAATCAAAGCCCACACCCACACTCACATAATTTGTTTTTACAATTTTGTTGAAACTTATGGATCACATTAGTTTAATATTATTAAATTCAGCTTCTTATATAAGTATATCGATACCAAAGATGTTTGCTCTAAATTTCATGATATTTGTTATTAAACGAATAGCTGTGAAAAGTGAACATTATTAATGTGTAGTTGGTGCAAAAAAACCTTTGCTATTTTCAATTGATTAAAAATCTTCTACTTCATCTATAGTAAATCTATTGTTTTCATATGAAATAAAGTGAAATGTACTGATGCTGTACAGATTTTTATATAAAACTATCGAAGTTTCTTTCACATTGATATTGATACATGTATATAAGAAGCTGAATTTGTGAATGTCTTTAAAATCGAATAGGGTGTGGGTGTGGGTGTGGGCGTGGGTGGGGTGTGGGTGTGAGTGTGGGCGTGGGTGGGGTGTGGGTGTGGGTGTGGGGGGTGTGTGGGTGTAGGTGGGTGTGGGTGTGAGAGTGTGGATGTGGGTTTGGGTGAATGGATCCTGACATCTCAGATCCACCGACATCCACACCCTCACCCACACCCACACCCACACCCAACCCACACCACACCCACACCCACACCCACACCCACACCCACAACCCCACACCCACACCCACACCCTATCCCAAACCACCAATAATATAGATGAAATCTTCTTCATCGTCACTATTCTTAACGTAAGTAGCTGTGTGAAAATACGTCGGTGGAAATACGTGTTCAGGATATCCATAGATTGTAACCTCTTCTGGCCTCGATGCCCCTAACATCTCTGGCCCTAAGGAAGCGGCATTCTGTTTTGTTTTCAATCGAAAGTTACTTGGTACAGGCAACGAGTACATATAGTGTGCTCGTACCATCCGGGGATTTCGTATAACAACAACATCATTATAAATTTGAAAGTCAGGATCGTAGCAATCTTCATGCTCACCTCCAATATGAATCAGTCGTCCATCCGGTAAATAAGTTTGTGTAGCTCCAAATCGAGCAAAACACCATGTCGGACGCCAAGCATTATTGTCACCACCAAAGTCATCGTTATTTTCATTGCGAGCATTGTAGGCCGTTAGATGTGGATTACATACCATATATTTCCAAAACGGCTTTTTCATCAATGTAGGATTGTCTATACCAAATTCAAAATGTTTATTTTGATCATAATCATCCATAATCGCTTGTCATCGAGCTGTGAAGTGGCGGGCTATAATGACTGAAAGTTTTTGGAATTTTATAGTTAAAAGAATGTCTGCTACTTCACAAACTATGGGAAAAAAAACATCTCTCTTGTTGATATCGAAATTACACACATGACGTCATATTTCATTATACGTGTGTCAAAAGCATGAGAGCAAGAGAAAAGAACAATGATAAAATTTCCTTGCCCAAGTATGACGCAATGACATTTTGTACGTCATATTTTCAATTTTTCCCATCAACTGGGCTATTAGGAAACTTGAGTCTGTCGTTAAAAAATGTGTCTCAATAATTTTCTCGATAAGAAGGGTGAGGGGTGAGATCTTAGTTTGCCATTATCGCGATTTCATCTTGACGAAACAAGAATCATCAGATGATGTGTGAGGGTGTGGGTGTGAGTCGAGAAGCCATGGCGCGTGTAAGAGGGTTGTTGGGGGACCCTCCTTCGTTTATTCGAAATCAGAATGCAACGCACGCACTCACCACATTACACACACACACACGCTAACGTTAGCGACAGATGCCGGCGCTCGATAACACTCCTCTCTGACATAGCGAGAACACACATCTATACATACATAACACATATGCACACATCCAGAACTAATACGAATACATGAAAAGAAAGTACGCGATCGAAGATATCACTTCTAACAAAGAGAAGAAAGGAGAGAAGATATCACATCGAGGGAGGAAAGAAGAAACCGAGCGATCTACCTAACAACAGGAGAAGCAAACGAGTAACGCGAACTAGGTCGAAATGAGTGCAAACGAAAGAAGAAAGCGAAAAAAAAGGAAAGAAGGAAAAAGAAAGGAGAAATGAAAAAGAATGAACTGTAAAGGCTAAGTCTGTAACAATCGATCCTTCAAGAAAAAAGTGTGTCCCCACACATGTCACATGGCGAGAAAACGAACAGGAACGAAAAAGTAATAGAACGAAGAAACTTCAGAAAATTCGAAAGATTTATCGCGCATGTGATGTCCTTTTTTTGAGTCGGCCATAGTATTCTTCGGTGAACATGTCTGAGTGTACAAGTCTTTTATATGAGCAGCTCCTTCAAGAGCAATGAGCTTTCTAGTAACTTCTTGTAGTTGTTTTTTATTATGTATTTCTTACTAATCTTTTAATTCACCAGCAAACGAGTCGAATTTAACTAATTCGGGTGTGGGTGGGTGTGGGAGTGGGTGTGGGAGTGGGTGTGGGAGTGGGTGTGGGAGTGGGTGTGGGAGTGGGTGTGGGTTTGGGTGTGGGTGGGGTAGGTGTGGGTGATGACATGATCAAAACTCACACATCCATACCCACCCACACACCCATACCTACAGCCCGCACCCACACCTACACCCACACCCACACCCACCCACACACCCATACCTACAGCCCGCACCCACACCTACACCCACACCCACACCCACCCACACCCACACGCACGCCCACACCCACACCCCTCACCCACACCCACAGCCACACCACACACCCACATTCACCCGCACATAAGCCCACAACCGAGACTCACACTCCAAACCCACAGTCCACACTCCATCAGCGCCCACATCGCGCTCACACTCACATTCCCTTACAAATAGAGAAGAAGCGCTTCCAAGAGGAGTAATGTGATTGTTAATAAGGAAGAATAGCAATACTTCTTATCAGCTTTCAGTAATGACTGTGTTTGCTATTCTTGCTCCATCAAGATGATAAAGTTATCATTCACTTTCGCATATAAAAAGTGGGTTGTGTATGCCATACGCTCTTCCATTCACTCCGAAGAGACAAAGTATTAGCAACGCCAACGTCGAAAACCCAAGTTTTTTGGAAATAATTAAAACCAGTAGGTACTACTCAATGCATCTTCTTTTACAGCGCTCCTCTTTCTTTTTCGGGATTTTTAGAGAACACTTGAGGGAGATGATTTCAAACCTGTAGAAAAGAGATCTTTACTAGTAGAGCACAAGTTCTGCAACTCTGAAGAAAATCTCATGGTCACCTAAGAGGGATATCGATACTGCAAGTTGTCAAAACAGTTTTACTTTTGTTCCCTACTTTTCTCGGAAAAAATTCATCGAGAGAGCTTAAACTAGAGATGGAGTTGGTAAAGAAAAAATCGCATCAAATAGAACCTATCGCTAAATCTGAAGCCTATACTGACGAAATACCGACGAATACTGATTAGAATACCCGTAAGTCCAGAAAGTCTAACGCCTGTAGGATGTCTGTGAGATACCTATTATTTACCGTGAACAATTTTATTGTTTTTGAGCAAAATGCATGCTGGCTAGAGATTAAACGGATGTTTTTGTGGCAACCGTTGCCGATTTTGGTCATAGAAGCTCGAAAAAAGAGAAAGACTGACACTTCTCATAAGTTTTGACCTGAATTGCTTCCAGCTTTATGCGCGTTCAATAAGCATCTGTATCGAATTGTTTCAATGTTTTTATATCGAAGTGAACGGGCACCCATAACGATGGCTACAACCACCGCAAGTGATCGTTCAAGACCGATTCACATTGACATGTACAATCGTAAAGAGTCATGAGTTGCCGTTATGATAGTGACCGTATATCGTGGTGTCGTAGGCAATCATAAAATTACAGTTTAAGGATGAGGCTGAGTTTACAAATTAATACTAATCTTCTAATGACGGTCGTCTGGAACCTCACTTAAGAGTTCATGATCATTTAAGTTTAGAATTCGAAAATCTGCATAGAATTTTAATCTCAGATCAGTATAAAGATATAAGTGTCTTGAACTCTCAACAGTAATCTAATGTTCAGATAGAAGTTCGAAGTATCGCAGTAAATCTTATATGTGGTGAGCTTACAAAGAAATTCCAAGCTTCTTATGGCGATTGTTTCGAACCTTACTTAAAGGTTCATCATCAAGTAAATTTAGAAATTCTTTTCTTTTTCTGTTTGTAGCAGAGGGTGTGGATGTGGGTGTGGGAGTAGGTGCTGATTTTACAAAAATCCTCACTCTCACCAACACCCTTTTTTTGCACACACCCATACTCACACACGCACCCACCGATCCACAAACAGAAAAAGAAAAGAATTTCTANTTCCGTTTATGGAAAAATTAACTGTAGTTAATGAGAAACCACAAAATAACAAACTATTTAGTGAATCAAAGAATGACAATCAAGGTTTATCAATCATTAAATATCCTCATCTTACTGATCTTATACTTTATGAAGTTCATGATGATTATATCGAACAATTTCTAGATGATGCGAAAATGTGTTTGCCGAATCATGTTAATCTTTCTATCGAATATGAACCACTTAGAAGAGTGACACATAATTTTACAAGAAATGCAACACGATCTAATTGTGCAAAATTGAATTCTTTATATTTGAATGGTAAACGTCGAGCTCGTAAACTTGTAAAAACGTATTTTCCTCACACAGAAATATTGTAATTATTGTCAGTTGTTGTTTAAATAGAGTTGATTTATGTAGAATTTAAATATTAAAATAAAGAAGAAACTTGTTTTATAGTTGATCAAAAAGAATCAATCAATGTACATTTCAAAATGATTACATATAATGGGCGTCTTCCATGAGAAACTTGGTCTAGGCTAACTTTTCTCGGTTTTGGTCAAACTTAACACTATCTGATACTTTTAGGATTTTAGACTATGCTCTTTCCTTTGTTCAAAATGTTAGGAAGTAGGTTTTCTGAAAGACAGTGGTTTGTGAATACACTGGTCGATAAGAAAGATTTTTCTGAAAAACAAAGAAACGATATAGCATTCCTAATTGCATAACTTTAATTAGCAAAAACGGGCTACATTTTGAAAAAAAATTTAAGTTTCCAGCTCTGAATTTAACGAGCATCGTACCGTAAGATCGTCAATTTGCCGCTTCCTCGGATTTCACTTTCAATACGGTAGAAAGACAGAGTATGCAATTTACGCACATTTCCGTCTATTTATTTTGTTTTTGTTGAATCAAAAACAATTTTCGGAAGACTAAATAGTTTTAGCAGTATATCACTTTGGGATGTTTTGAACAACTGTCGTATTCAGAAATTTGCCTTTTATAAACTCGTAACTATGACTAAACATAACTATCTTGAAAATTTGTTTTTGTATTGTTATGAATGCGTGCAGGATGATCACACTTACATACAACACAATCGGAAGCGAATAGCAGTAGTAGAAACGCCTCATCTCGTTGATAAAATGAAGACATTAGAGTCATATTCTTTATATTTATGTGTTGCTGTTTGAATTTTGATTATATGTTCAACTGGTAAAGATTTGAATATAGTTGTATAAGTGTACCCAGTATATGTTTTTCAATACTGACGAATATCTATTCTAGATTAGAAGAATAATCACAAACATTCAATGCACACATTTTCTCTGAGAAAATTCATTAATGATAGTCAATACTACTAAAACAAAAGTAATAATAAGGAGATTAGAAAGACTTGAACGAATATTGCTGATTGAAAAATTATTTGTAGGTATATAGTGAATATTAAATGTTTCTTCTCGTGAAATAAGAAAATCAAGTAATTTTTGACGCATTTGTATGATATTTTTTGCTTGATTTCTGGTTGCCATTAGGTTTGGAACACGTTCTAATTGTGGTCGAAGACAATCCGTGAAAAAAACACCTAATTGAAAAAACCTCGTAAACCATATTTAACTACATCAGAATGTTGAAAAAATTCTTCTATGATATTCTTTCGTTCTTCTTCGCTTTCCTCTTCACAATGAATTATAATTAACATAAAAAATTTTCTTGATTCTGGACAATGTTTTTGAATAAATATCATTGATTAAATATCTTCTATATTGATACCAGTACAACTGCTGAAGACAAAGGCAAATGCATGAATATGAGGTATATCTTTTATAATGCATTGATCAAGATAGTTTTTCAGCGTTTCATTCGTTAGATGTTCACCTTCGTTTCGCATACAATTATATAAACCTGGTGAATCAATGATATTAAAGACATAAGCATTGTCTCTATGAGTTATAGTAATTCGATTGAAAGTAATATTTCGAGCACCAGCGAAGAGACAAGTTAATTGAGGTATATGAAAAGGATTTTGAAGCATGTTGCAAATAGTAGATTTGCCAGTGTGTATTCTTCCGATGATTACGAGATTGCGATAAGTGCATGGGGAAAATGGATATTTATTTCGTTTGCTCATCTCTGGAGTTAGTTTGCTAATCATTTGAGCACAATTCATTGTGGATTGTTTACCGGTTGAAACTATGATATTTGATTTATACACAAAAGATAATGAGAATATGTATTTACCTTGTTGATGATTCTTATTTTGATTACCATTTTTGGTATTCGATTCTCGTGTTTGACAGTTTGAAAATAATGAACGTACAATAAGTTCTGGATACTTGTAAGGATGATTCTCTTGAGTACAAACAATATAGGTACAAGTTCTTCTCTTCAATAAAACTATTGTTGTTGTTATTAGAATGCCATATTTTCTCATTTGTTTATATTTAATACTTCGCTCACATTTAAAATAACTTTAAATAACACATGATACAGAAGAAAGACGTAGATAGAAATAGTTGAACCAGCATATAAGATTACCAACGTTAAAAGAGAGAGCGAACAAGGATCATAAGTTGAAGAATAGTTTTTCTTGTTCATTATATTCCTTTTTGAAAAGATGCTGAACTATATATTTAATTCAAGACGTTCTTTGATTTATTTTACGGCAAATACTAATGTTGATGTATCTGAATATATTTCTAAATGAACATCATCAGATAGAGTACATTTCTTTCTCTTATCTTTCTAATGAATATTTTTTTATAGGAAGGGTAAACTTAAAAATTTTTAATATTTAAAATAAATTTTAATTTTAATTTAAGATTGTGGATCATTTTTCATTGATACAGAACAAGTAATAGAAGATAAAGATTTATATCTTAATTAACTTCAACATGCTTCATCAACGATTATCGAAAGAAAACTAATTAAACTCCAAGAATTATTTCAATCTATTTCAACATCAAAATATTTGGAGAATCGTTTTTTAATTTTAAATAATATTGATACAATAACATATTATAATGAATAAATTCAAATTTTATTTGTTGATATAGAGATACTCATGAGGACTTTGACCTAATTTTCTTATTGACTTATCAGTCATACAGCACGTTATACATTCTGCTTACACATTTTTTCTTTCATTCTGTGTTTTTCTTTTCTGTTGTTTTCTTTCGTTGTCAAATTATAACTTAAAGATGTTCCATTCTTTCGTTTTCTTTCTATATTTTAATCGTTATCTTTACTAATTCTTTCATTTTCGACCGCCTTTACCTCTTTTCTTTATTATGTTCATCATTCCCTCATTCACTTATTTCACACTTTCACACATACACTAACACTACACAAACGCGCTTTCTGGGTTGTTAAGTGATATGTTTTCCTCCTTTCGATCTTCTCTATATTTCTGTTTTGCGTTTGGTTTTTCTTTCTAGATATGGCACATTTAACTACATTATCAAATTTCATCAATCTCTATTTCGACGGAAAAATGAATGATCCAAAGGACAAGCTCATCTTAATCGCACATTGGGCTATTCTCAAGATGGGTTATTCTGTGGTCGACGAAGCCGGTCGAGTAATCATTCTTTTTTTTTCGTAATTCTATTTTTATTATGTTTTTAAATAGACAATGTATTTATGTTCGATCAAGATAGGACTGTTTCATCGGAAATAAATTATGTCAAAAATGACTCGGCTATTGTAACTGATCATTTTTTTACATCAAAATTATACAAAATCGATTTTACAGTAAGATATTAATATGAAATATCTTCATTTATTTTTCTCATATATTCAGGTGGAATGTTAAAATTCTTTATTTAAAACGGAAATCGATAAATATTTAAATGATGATGGGTAAATCTAATATATTTCTTATAAATCAAATCATTTAAAACAAGATTTTCTTATAGTTCATTAATCAATGAAAACCAATTGGCGATTGAAGTAGAGAGAAAATTGAAAAATATTTTGAAAGCTCGTCGTCAAACAAGAAAACGTAAATTAAAACGACAACAACATGAAGAAAAACAACAAAAAACAACAACGGCATCAGGTATTGATCGAACAGGTTCAGATGATGATGATGATGAGTAAGTAAAGAATTCATTCGTCAAACTGTTCAATCAACATCAATTTCAATTTGGCTTTGTGTATTTTAGTGAACCGCTCGATTTAACAATAAAATAAATTTAAAAAAAATGTTTTACAAGAAGAAAAAAAATTTGTCATCTTAATTTTAAATATAAAAGTTTTACCATATTTACTATAAGAACAAGTGAATAAATAAAAGAAAATAAAGAAATTGAATTAACTTCTCGAATATTTTATCAAGTGATCGTTTTTAAAGCATTTGTTTTGCCATTATTGGCAGATCTTAAAAACCTTCTATATTCAAATATACAATCAGATATTATTTTATCCAATTGAAATATGTTATTAGCTAATTGTTATTTTTGTAATTGAATCTCATCTTTTAATGTATCATTGTGTCGCATTAAATTATTTCATTGAATATTTAATTCATCTAAATAATTAATAATTTGTTTATCGATAAAATATAATGAAAAATGTCCAATTTGATTCACTGATGGTATTTGTTCTTGTAATTTGGTTAAATGATTCTATTTATTCCTATTGACATTTTTGGCAAGCATGATTTGCTTATTATAATTATACACATTGAGCTGATGCTGCAGCAAAATCTGTTCGTAATTGACGAATTTTTTCTTCACATTCATGATTGATATTTTGAGTAGCAACATTATTCAAAAGAAAACAAAATAGATAAAATAATGAAATTTTATATTTAATAAAAATTACAAACCTTTCTTGGTGAATCAATACGTTGAATAGTTGAATTGACTGAAACTTGACTTAAATATTGTTCCATATCATTTAATTTCAACTGTAATCGTTGATTTTCTAAGCTGAGTGAATCAATACGATCGTATCTTCATTATTTCAAGTAAATATTTGTTATTAATAGAGTGAAATTTATTTTTTTTAATTTAGATTCCTAAATTTGATATTCATGAAGCTCATTAGCTTTGCATTACATGGTCAGATGAATTTAAAATTCGATAGCGGAAGTCAAATAGTTGCTGATTATCCAAAACATAAAGATGAATCAAATAAGGCTGAAACAAGTTTTTCCTTAACGCATCGGTACTAAAATTGGCCTTGCAAACGTTTCACTTCTAATGTTTATGACGATGGTTTTAGTCGTTTTTCTTTTTAAGGATTTTTCGTGAAATTTTCAAGTTAAATTGATATTGATCAGTAGTTCGAAAGGAAGAGTTTATCATTATTCTATGAGATAAATTGTCTATGTTAGTTGTTTAATATTAAAAATAAACGAGAATATTATAATAAATGTAATTATTTATCATGACGTCCTCTATCTATGCTTCCTTATCTGATCTAGAAAACGATTTCGTTTTTTCTCTAACAATATCTTCCTATTCTTTTGACAAAAAAAAACATTTGTTTGACGATAGATAATCTAAAGTAAGATATATATTGATTATTATCTTTGAATGTCTTATTTTATTCAATTGTAGAGAAGAAGATAAAATAATTGACTGAATTCTGTCTCGTTTCAATAAATCTATTATATAACAATAGAATAGACGACGCATTAGACAAACGATGACGATGTTATCGAAGTGAAAATAAAGACTCATTCGAAAAATAAGAAGATGTTGATCAGGTAGAAATTTCTTCATCCGTCTCCTATGGCATAGTCATATATATAAACAAGATTTAGTCTATAGTATAATGATGATTGGTTTTTTTTCCATAAGATTTCATATTTTTCAATTTTAAACAATAAAGGTGACATTATAGAAAATCCAACTGATTTCCATGAAGTTTTCTAATAGGATAAATTGAAGAATATTTTCGTGTCGATTTGTAAGATTAGATTTAGAACCTCAAAAAGAAACAAAATAAACTAATAAGTATTTTTAGCGTTCGTTGTTTGATTGAATATATGAATAAAAGGAGATTGTTTTGTCATAAATGATGTTTATTAGTTATTTATTGGTTTAAACGAGGTAATCGAATATAGATTGAGCATATCTCGATCAGTTATGCTTTCTATAATCTAGGAACAAGTTTCGAATAATTATTTGTTAAATAAGTCAGTTGACATAATGTGTTTGTTTTTTTGTTTATATAAATAAAATAAAATAGTCTTATAATTGAGATTCTCTCTCATAGGAAAAAAGTGACTGTTGAGAAATGTCGTTAGAGAAAAGTTAATAGAGAAGAATTTGCTATTTAATTATCTATGTTAAAAATAATATTTATTTCTATTTTGAAAAAATTTTTTATTTCAGTAAACGTTTGTCTAAATTTAATTAAAAAGCTTGTTCAACGATCGATGTCAAATGTTCTGCAGAATAAGTTCTACGAAAAATTATTTTTTTTGGTTCATATTCGTGAAAGAAAACAAAATTCGAATATTAACTCAATGTTTTCAAAATAGGAAGTTCGGTAACTGTTGAGATTGATTCTATTATATAAATATTTATTTCTTCTAAGTTAAACAATTCTATTGAATATCCGACAAATGAACTGTTTAGAGATTAGTCAATCTTTATCACATATCGATTCAATCAGACAGTTTATCAAAATCGTCTTGTTAGAATTTATTTATCTAATTAATGTGTTTTTCTCAATGTTTTTATATTGTTTTCAATCTCTTGAAAAGTTCTATCGAACGATATGAAACTAATCTGGTTGATGATGAGATCGTTAAATAGAACGAGTTGATTTTATCATAAACAGTTCGGTTCAATGTAGATATGACAGTGATTGATTTATTCTAGGAAACGGTTTATTTTCAAAATCTTCTATCATACGTTTTATATAGAATAAATTCAATTCTCGATCGACCAACTTCAAGAGTGTATTGTTTCTAACATGTAAACTTTGACAAATGAAATATTCATCTAATCATATATTTTGCCTTATTTTATTAAGAATAAACAAAAAAAAAAGAGAAGACTGTTATTTACAAAATATGTACAAATAGAAAATAAGGAAGCCATATATATGCAAAAAGAAAAAAAGAATAATTGAGTCGTTAAACGAATGACTAGAGATCGCAACAAAGATTTCAATCAACATTTCAATTGATTGTCTTTTCACTGTTCTCTAAAATTTGTGTTTCTTTTTCAAATTACTACACAATAGGTTTTAATACAAATTCCAACGTAACGACTAGACATCATACATGCATGAAACCGGGCCAAAAATATACATGAATACAGTTGCGATTTCTTCAAATTAAAGAAGAATGGAAGCCAACGAAAAAAAAATATATATTAAACCACCTGAGGTTAGAATACATTAAACACACACATATAACTTATATATACATATATATAACAATCAATCTGTCTAATCAGCCATATCAGCAAATTGAATTATATTTTCCGCTGAATGATTTGTTTGTAACGATCGTACGACTGTACTACTGCAACTCGATGAACTTAACGAATCAGTTGTATCACCATTAACAACTAAAATCAATTAAAATAATTCATTTAAAATGTTTTTTTTTTATAAATTTACAAACCATTTTTTAATGGTATATCAATAGCAGCATCAGCTAGTTTTTCTGCAAGTTCAACTTCTAAATCAGATTTTAAACTATCAAAGGAACTTCCATATATACTCAACGATGGAGCATCCTACAATCAAAAACCAAAAAAAAAATATTTTATAAAAACTAAATATCATATTTCTCACCTGAAAACTACCCGAACCAACTTCAATATAAGCTGGAGAAATATCTTTATGCATATTTGGTACATATACAGGCGTAGATTTCGATCTTTCCATTCTAGAATTATTGAATTAGACATTTAACTCAGAAACTAAAAAGCAACCTACGGTAAACTAGTTAAATCTGCATCTACAACATTCATTGATGTTTGTGGTGAATCAGCTGTAAATACATTTGAATTTGGATGACAAACACTAACTGTTGCTTCAGAATAATGTTTAAATTGAAACTGTGGACCCATCCATAGACGACGATGTGGACCAACATGCGTATTCATTTCAACCTAGAAATAAATATTTCAGTTTTTTTTTGTTCTATAGGACAATTTTAAATATTCCTGGCCACATAATATAGACTATTATTTTTATATTTCAATAATACAAAAATTAAACTAAACATCTGATATCGCAATGTTTTGTTTTGCTGTTCAACAACAACATTGCTTTGTTGTATAGGTGCCACTTAACTGATATGTCTCAAAAGGAATAATTAATCCTACAGTTATCACTCGATCAATTCAATAGATTGAGTGCTTGAAATCGTGAGAAGATTATAAATGTTTTTGTACATAGTTAACATAAAAACCAGATCATTTTTAGCGGTAAGTTGCGGATAACCGGAAAGAAACCGCGGTTTACCGGAGAAAACAGTCAATTTTTTTCTCGGTTTCATTACATGAGTATCTACTAAAGTAACACGTACAACATAAACTGAAATTTTAATTTGGCCTAGGAAAATTAAACACTTTTTTTATTCTAATTTCTTCTGTAACATTCATATAAATGTTTACCTGACGAAGCCAATCATCTTTTGAATGAATTTTATTTCCAGATATTGGTCGATGTCCTTGAGCTAAAAATGAATAACCAATAGACATACGAACTTCTGGCCAAGTAATTAATCTAAACAAAAAAAAACATAATTGTGTGAAAAAAAAAATATTCAATTTTACTTTTGAAGTTTCCATTGTGCTTTTGGAGTAACTGTGAGTGCAAGTGGTGTTTCAGATGTAACACGTGTACCATGTTTAGTTGTATCTAGAATATTATTTAAATGAAATAATTGTTTTTTTTTTCAATGAAATTCTATACCAGCTTTTGGTTCAAGAACATATTCAATTAAACGGCCATGCCAACTAATTATAAACAATGAGCTACATGCTCTAGATGTATGTTCTTGAAGATTAATCATATCTTCGGGATTAAGAAAACCTCGTGAAATTCCAAATGTAGCTGCCAGACATAATGAATCAACATTAAATGGTGCACTAAGACCACTAACAAAACTATCAGTTGGCTGACGAATTAATGTAACAGCTGTTGAAAAAATACATTCATTATTTATTCGTTTCGTACGTATTAAACTTGAATAGTTATTATTATGACCATTGATTGTATTTGATGGTGAATTAGTTAGAGGATTTAACGGCGAATTTTTTATTCCACTATCATTGTTGATGTTATTCGTTTGACGAATTGGTTGCTCATCGAGACCAGCAGTACGATGATAACGACTAGTTTTATTTACAACATGAGGTTTTGTATGTGTACGAACATTGACAACACCTATGTTAAATAGAAAATTTATTTAGTTCTCCATACAAAAATAAAATTAAAAATATTTGCATTAAAATATCTAAAGCAAAGTTTCAAGTCGGAAAGTGTCGCTCAACTTTTCAATCTATCGCACTGCAATTTAATGGATATTTACCTCCATATGGATTGATTGCAAACAGATGGGTTGTACCACGTTTCGTTGATACAGCAAGCCATCGACTGTCAATAGTGAATGTCATATGAGAAACTAAACATATATAGAAATAAATCATAAAATTTATCGATTATTGTGAATATCAGAATTAAATGTTTTCGATTGATTTTTGAATATCTAACGAACGGACATGCTGTCAACGATCTACGAGTCTCATCACTCAATTTCAACCATGGCAATGATTTATGACATGAATAAAATTTTAGACGCAGGACTTATCAACGAGTAGACAACGCTAGAGTTCGTTGGGTCCAAAATTTCCGTACCCAGATCCTGTCGACCTGTACTTTGATATGTTTTTCCGAATTTGTATTTGATGACTAGTGCATCCTACAAATTTCTCACTCAACTAGAGCCCAACTAACTCTAGACTACGCTCCTTGATTATATACTATAATATCGGTTTTATTACTGTTCTTATGTATTTATAGTTTACCTATACAATCAGTATCACCACGAAATAAGGTGTATAAATGTTTAATATATGTTCTAGTACAACGATAAGGCGATGCTTGAATCTCTAATACATTAAAGTAATGTCCACTAATATCACATGTTACAAGTAAATGTCCACTAGGATTAAATTGTAAATGGCTAACAGGTTCTGTATGAGCTTGAAAATGAGCAATGATCCAATTTTGTCTTTCATCATGAATAGATGACTGAAAAACAAAACAAATAGTAATTAAACTATATGCATGAAAATTCTTCTTACACCAAATAATTTAATTGTATCAACAACCGTCACAATACCCGCTTGTGATTCATCTTTCGTTGATCCACGTCGATGTCGTGTTGAATTTGTATTACTATTATGTATTGTTGTCGGTGATGATTGTGTTGGATTTGGTACTGTTTTATCATTCATATTTGTACTATTCAATTGTTGCAATCCAGTATTTCCATAACCAAAAAAACTTTCACCAATTTTAACAACACTTTTTGATAATGATTTAGCTGCACTTAACATTGCACCTGTATATGATACATATTGTTCTGATATATTACCATCAATTCCACCCAAAGATTGATGAATTAAATAAAGACGATAATCAACAAATGCTAACCATCGTGTTGATAATGCATACGGTATTGATGAATAACAATTTGTTATAAAAAATTTTTCATCAAATTTTATTAAATCATAACCAATAATAAATGTATGTGTTGCACATATAAGTACAGATTTATTTGATTCAATCCATAATGGTTCACTTTGTGGGCCAATACCAGGTAAATTAATAATTTTTAGTGGTTTTTGATCATTTTTTAATGAACGTATTTGTATTGATGGTGGTCCTGCTGATTTAGCAAATGCAAATAAAGGACGTTGAGAATAGTATGAATCATCTGGATATGTATTAGGTATTAATAAACATACAGAACTTAAATTATGTTCACGAATTGAAAATAGCTCGTTGGCTATTCCATTATTTTCAATTGTCCATAATGATAAACCACTTTTATATGCAACTAATAAAACAAGTGTATCAATACGTATTGATGAATGCCATTCATGTGCATTAGAAAGAAAACGTATCCATTCTATTGTTTCAAATTGGTCATTGTTAGCCGAACGAGAAGATATTGAGTAAGCCTAATTTAATAAAACATTAATGTCTTTTTCTTTCTTAGTTAGAAAAATTTACTTGAGGAACTTTTTCTACTACATCATGAAATAGATCAACAACGGATTCAATAACACTTTTTTCACTAGAAAATCACAATATGTTTAAATTGAAATTTTATTTGAATTATGTAACATACTTGACTGCTTCAGGACGAACTTTTCTTAATTCAATAGATGATACATAGGACATTCACGCAGTTAATTTAAATGAAAGAGTATCTATATAAATTTCTAAAATATAAAATTAATAGAGAAAAAATAGACCTATATATAATATATAAACAAAAGAAATATCATCCGATCTTAAAAAACAAAAATAAAAATAAATCGAATCAGCTGACGCTTTAACACATACAATGTGACGATGAATCATAGGATAAAAGATAAAACATATCAACAGAGAACATAAGTACAAAGATGACAAAAGCAGAATATCGATTCGCTGATTTAGATATCTCCTATAGCTAATAAAAAGATCTTTAAAATAGATGTCGATATAATTCAAGATCAATGTAAATTATCTTTAAAATACTACAACGTATGCTCCATAGAACGAAATGCAGACAAGACCTCAAGTCAGACACTATTTTTTCCGGGCAGAAATAAGATAAATCACTGGTGAATTCAGCAATGTGGCTATTCGGCAACTGCAATCCAGTCACGAATAGAAGCAATAACGAAACCTTTTAGAGAGTCTCCTCCGTAAACGTTTGAAGAAACACTATAGGTTCCATTTCTTTTTCCATTAAATCTTGTGCGAAAAAATGTAATTTTTTTGTCTGTCAAACAGGTTCTTTTTATTGCAAAATAGTTTTGTAACAAGTCAAATATCTTTTTCATCTTTAATTAATATTGAAAAAAAAAATGCTAAAAACAAGACTCGATGAATCAGGTATGATATTTATTTAGCGATATATAGGTATAGAAGTTTATTCTATTATTGATGAATTTTCTAAATTTAATCATTGATTGTTTCTTTAATAAAAACTGTTTGTTTATAAATTTTTCGATTTATTTCACAAAAAAAAAATTCACACTTCCTCAGAAGGCATCGTTTAGAAATCACCACTCTCTCTCTCTCTCTTGTTCAAATCTTGAATCCGCCACTAATCATTGTACAAATGATGATAAACATTTTTTATTTTTGCGTTGATATTTCTAGACGATACTTTATTTGTGTAGCCCAAAGAACACGACCAAGAGGACAAAATATGTAAAGACAAATGTTTAAGTAAAGTTAAATATATATTTACTGATATCTTTGTCAAATAGGATTATATGTCTTTAGGCTGTCGAAAAAACATGTCGAACATGAATGTTGTATACTGTCATGCGTAAAGTTAAAAATAAATTCACTACCTGTATAACTAATATACTGTGCATTTTATATTATTCATTCAAGCAAGACATCTGTGCATGCGTGTTTGCTTCTTTTTTTTCTTTTTGTTGTAAAACTAAAAAGTTAAGTAGAAATGTTGATATTAGAAAGGTAACAAATCGATTTAAAAGAATAAAACAAAACAAAGTACATAGAGTTGTCTGTCGACAGATTAATTGTATAATTTCTACAATCAAAAAAGACAACATCACTTACTAAAGCACTCATCTATTTAAAGTTATTTTGCGACAAAATAATTTATCGAAGAATTCATTTTTATTGATAATACTATGGTATCGAAATCTTCAGTACGAAAATTGTCAATACTTTAATATTTACATTTTATCATACATTCGTGTTTTTGCGCAAATATATGTACATATTTATTTTTAAAATGACAATTTTATGTTAAATAGCCTCAATAGATTTTTCTAGAGAGTCAAGTACTCGCTCGTATGAGTCGATCAGATCATCTGGACCAGTAACAAAAATAAGTTTTGTATTAGGTGCATGCTCATGAACAAGATTAACAAGATGATTGAACCCATGTAGAGTTGTTACTTCTTTTGGAAATTTATCATCAAACCCATTAAATCCACCACCTTGAAGAATATCGATATATCATTTAAAAAAAATAATGTCTACTTACCAATAGACACACCATCCCAATCATTTCTCTTGAAAAGTTCGATTAATTTATCGCCATTGACTTTATTATTTTCAACGGTGATAATCTTAACACTTATAATCTATTTCATGTAAATATTCTTCAGCTTTTCCTGCTAATTCGTGTTCTCTTCCTAAAACAAGTATTTTTCATGAATGAGCTTTTGATCCATTCATCTTTGCTAATTTATGATGTGAAAGTATATCGTATGTTACTTATTATTACTATAAGAACGCAGCGAACAGCTAAACAACAAGTAATAGAATGCAATGCACTAAATAGAGAAAAACGCGAGAACACAAAATATAAAAGCAGAGCAAGGTGAATAGAGACGTATACATCATAAAAGTTTATTAGGTAAAACACAAGAATGGATTAATCACTTGTAATTAACTAAGTGGCTAACGACCAGAGATGAGCACAGGACAAGATTTTCCGTCCTGCCCTGTTCATCGCACACTATAATCCTATCCTGCCGCTCAGCAGGTCAGGACAGGACACTGTATTAAAAACAATGCATGTTTAATTTTTTGTTAAGTAAGACATGTATCGCATCTCTTTAAGAGTATATGACCAACTTGGGTGTGGGTGCTTTGTTGTGCTTCCTAAGTCACACCCACATCGAAAGTACTCCACCAGGATAATGGTCGTGCTGCTAGTGCTGGTGGATTTTTGATAACTGTATAGTTGTTCGTGTTGTCTGCAGAAGAACTTTGAGTTTTTCTGAACTGAAGGAATCTTCTTCGGGAGAAAATACTTCAATGAAGTCCATATATTGTTTTACCAATAAAGTACAAAAAAAATTCAAGATAAAGCAAAAATAAAGACGAGATGTCGATATTATAAGAGAACAAAGAACAATAGATATACATTGTTTACATTTGCTATGCATATACACGGTGCGTTCAAAAAGTTTCCGGACTGATTTTATTAAAAAACAACAAGAAGTGCTGTTGCGTTAGTATTCTTACCTATGGGTAGTTCATGCATTCATGTATCTATAGACATGAGAAGCTCTGTTGTACGAAGCATATATATGAAAAAATAGAGATACATTCTAGATCACTCTCTACACACTGCCAAAAAATCAAGAAAATTGATCATCGTTCTATGATAAGATTTCTTGTTCGATGAGACTATATCTCATATAATAGGTATGAACGTGTGGGAGCAGTTTATGTTGATCGATTCCCCATCGATCACTCCAGCTTCTGAATGAGATTGTCATTTTGAAGAAGGATTATCATGAATTGCTAACACTTTTGGATGTAAATAATCTAATTATTAAAGGTTCTGGAGGCCTGATGGTCGAAGAGGATCGAGTCGCATCTGGACGAATACCGGACACAGCTCGTATTTCAAATGTACCATACAGAGTATTTCGAACGATCAAAGACATAGGACTGAATTCAGTTCACGAAAATGTTACACTTCCTGATACGATATAAATAACATGTGGACCATATCTAGAACAATCATTAATAGCTCTTTATTCGTGTTTGCAACGATGAATTCATTCAAATATCGTAGCATATGACAGAGCATTATTACTGTAAACTGCCATCATATATTCATAAATTTTGAATGATCGATACTCTTTCAAAACACACGGCCTTGTTCAAGCTGTGCGTTCTATGTCAGTGTGTAGATGGTGGTCTAAAATGTATCTCTATTTTTTCATATATATGCTTCGTACAACAGAGCTTCTTATGTCTATAGATACACAAATGCATGAACTACTAATAGGTAAGAATACTAACGCAACAGTACTTCTTGTTGTTTTTTAATAAAATCAGTCCGGGAACTTTTTGAACGCATCGTGTATTCGTTTTTCTTCTCGATTTGATTATCTTATCGAGCAATTCGAGAATAATCACACTTCTACATATAAAGAATAATGACATCTATCAGTGAGAACGAATACAGTGTTATTAACGATGATAAATATCATAAATGGCTACAGGACAACATCCTCCATCCGGCCCTGCAGGACAGGACAGGATACAGGACGGCTGCACCGCTCCGTCCTGTGCTCATCTCTGCTAACGACCAATGAGATAAATAGATTTCAACATATTGCAATTTTTTCAAATAAAACAATGTCATGCAAATACTTCCTAGCAGAGATGAATTCGGTGTCGGTTATTGGTGCTTCTTATTATTCCATTTCTGCTTTGTAATATTTCTTTTTTTTTTTTTTCTTACCAGAAATTTTCATCTCGTAAATATAAATAATTTAACAATTTATTAATCATATGGAGCGTTCACAACTCTTTTTGAATTTACTAATGAGTATTATCTAACCTTTTAAAATCAACAGTTCGATTATTCTAGGTTTCAAATAATAAAGACTTTAATTAAATGTTTACTTTCATCTAATATTCGATATTTAAATTCAAGTATCCAATTACGAAATAATTTAAGAGATACTAATGACATAATACTTTTTTTCTATTATCTTATTTTGCGGAAGACATCGAAAAAGAACAGATCTCAGCAACATAAGCAAATTTAATTTCCACACCAGACCGCAATATCACAAACCATCCATGAATACACAGCAATGCAAAAATAAATAACGTACCCTTCTGAAAGAAAACTAAACTAGTCATCCTATGAAAGTATCTCTCTCACATCGACTCAACAACACATGCAGCCAACTTCTATAGAAACCAACTCAATTTCCAGCAACAGAACTCACACACCTTGTCATATACAAAAAACATCCTATATTCAGATAATTTCACCGAAACCTCATGCACCTTTATATTTGTCACATACCCCAACAACGTAACGGTCATCAATACAGCACATAATTTTTGCACCTGTTTCACTGACGATCGGAAATACTTCGCCATAGAGAAGAATAAATATAAATATACTCATCGATCGAAATTCCATAGCCAGCATAGAGAACACTTTCTTTTACCACTTGAACAGATTGCTAATGAAATCGACTCCGTACCATCAAATACATTATTGAACTCTCCATACACGGAGATACAATCGACAAATTTCACATACTCTCTAAAAGATCAAAACGAATGAACATCACGCGCTGTCCCTAAAACTCAACCACCCAAATTCAAAAACGATCAGTTCGAACCAAATCCACATATTTCAACTAGGTCCCTTCAAGGAACGT